TGTGTCTACATGAACAGAGAGACTTTGGGGCACTTGGCTTTCACTGGCATGGGCTGATAATGGAGCAACCTCTACAACACGTGGTTCTTCATCCTCCAAGACAGAAGGCTGCACTTCTCTATAGGTCTTCAGCTTCTGGTGAGTGTGTTTGTCAGCTGTTTGCAGAGCTGCTTGGAAACCTGGCTCTTTGCCCTCCAAGATAGTAGCTGCTGGAATGCCTTGATCAAAAAGTTCCTGACTTTTGTCTTGATGCACTGGAGGTGAATCCGTTTCTGTTTGAGGGCTTGTTAAAACAGCAGGTCTTTTGTGCTCCAGAAGATCAGGCTTAGCATCACTGTGAGCACAAGCCTTCTGGAGTGCATGCTCCTGGCTTTTGTCTTTGGAGGGTGGAATTGAAGCAGTTCTTTTAATAACGTAGCTTTCACCTTTTAGGTCAGGATGGAGGTCACTGCTATCAGCAGAGAGCTTTGACTCCTGATGTGCACACACTCCTCTCTTGCTTGTAGGGGCTGACTTGGAGTTGGTCTCTGGCTGTGGAAGAGCTGAAATTAATTGCTTGCCCTCCTGAAGAGCCGTCTCAGAAATCTCTCTGCCAGGGAGAGATCCAGCCTGAATGCCTTCAAGCTTTTGACCTGTTGGTGCAGTTATATCTGATTGCTGAGCAGTCAGAATGGGGCTTTTGCCTTCCAAATCATCCTCCTCCTCCTGCACGTGAGTAGCTTTTAACTTCTTAAGTAAATGCTTCCTATTCTCACTTCTATGAGGGGATACTGGAAGCTTCTCTAACCTTTGCACAGTAACGGCTGGGCATCCATGACCATCACATTCCATGGAAGAAGAGAGCTGTTCTTCTGAACAAGCCTTTCCAGTTCTGCTAGCATCCTCTTGCTTTGAGATGTCTACAGAACAACCCTTGTCTGGCTCAGCAGAAATGTCACAGTGGTGACTGCCTTCGGGACAAGTTTCCTGCGATATTATATCGTAGTCTTCTTCCAAAATATCTTGTTCCCTCACTGATCTGGAGGCCCTCAGCCTGTAATCATCCAGGGAACGGCTTCGGCTAGAGCCGGCGATAGCAGGATGTGGCGGTTTCCTTGCAGTATCAAACGAGGCTGATTTGGTCAAGGCACCGAGCAGACTTTCCCTGTGCCCTCCACCTTCCTCTTCCTCTTCTTCCAGCTCAAACTGTTCTAGAAGGGGTTCACGGAGACCACTGAGGGGCACCTTTGGATAACCAGCTTTCCGGAAAGTCCTTCTGGCTCTGTCCAAGTGCCTTCTGAGCTCTCTGCCTGGAGAGGAAGAGCCCCTCGCAGGAAGCTCTGCTGCTTGGCTGTAGAAAGTGCTTTTAATGACACTCTGTCTTGGAACACATATAGGTGGCTTTTCTGTTCCATCCCCAGTCTTTTCAATTTTGTCCTGATTAGATAAAAACGTGTCTGTTTTCTCTTTCTGATGTAGACCTGACGTGTCATCTATGGAAATCTTCCTTGAGGAATGTTCAGTTGCATCAGTTTTGGAGGACTGCTCTGCTCCTTCATCTCCAAGTTTGCGATGCAGTCCCTCCTCTTTCCGTCCTAAGGTACTTGCTATGAGCTCTTTGCTTTCTGTAGGTGATCTGTCCCCAACCTCACTTTTCATGGAAGCATACTTCCTCCTCATGGGCTTTACTGGAGGGATCAAGACTTTGGAGTGCTGCTCTTCACTTGCATATTTTGGAGATTCCTGATTGTCTGGTGCATCAAAGATGGAAAAATGCAGTTCAGGAGTAGAGCCAAAGTGTCTCTTCTTGGGGAAGTTTGAATTCTCGTTGTCCGAAGAGGAACCACTTGTACTGGAGGAAGTGCTTTCTTCAATAAGATGTCGGGAGATGGCCAAGGAGGTGTTGTCATGAGTCCTTTCTAGGATTTCTGGAATGGATCGCATTACCAGTATGGATTTATAGCACATGAGAGACCGCTGAAAAAACAAACCAAAAGACAACAGAATCGAGATGCAATCATAGTTGTGAATATGGTAAAAGCAAACACAGAAAAATGATCTTCTGCATTCTTAAAGACCCCACAAACTAGGGGTCAGTAGGTTTAGGAGAGTAGGTTTAGGCCTTATTTGCTCTCTGAATCAATCTCTTCTCTCATTCACAAAGGTGAAACTATATTATCTTTAGGGGACATACTTCCAGTAGTAAATGGAGAATCAGGACCCTGTCTGAGATTTTTCAAAGAAAATTTGGTCTTTCAAAGCAGAAGGAAAAAGCTGAGATATAAGTATCTCATTTTTAATTGAAGACATCTGATGACAGCCTGCTTGGAATAAATGGCCTTAATTACATTCGCTGCAGCACAATCTATAATGACTTCAGCCAACAGAAGACCTGGCACACTGTAGGAGGTCGGATTCACCTGCTCTCCCTTCTGATGTATAAGACACCTTGGCTAAAACTGAGCAGCAGGTCTTCCTTCACAGCCAACAGAGAGAAACACACATCTTCAGAAGTCGATAACCTGGTTATTTTAGACATCTTTCAGGAAAAGAGGAATCTTCTTAGGACCTCTCTATAATACACTATTGATTACAAAGACAGGCTAGGGTAGCTAACATAGACACAGCTGTGTATTCTATAGGTACTGTCATTAGAGCAGATCATTTAGTACATGTATGTTCTTCAGCTGCTTTCATTTCAGAACCCTACTTTACACTATACCTGCATATTTCTGTGAAATCTCTCTGCTCTCACACAAGTATACAGTACAAGAATTAGAAAGGAAACAAAATGCTTAAAATGGCAAGCAGCACAGTGCATGAATGTCGAAAATACTCCCTTTCCCTCAAAAAAAAATCCCAGAGGAAAAGCCAAAATTTAATGACAGGTTCATGGGTGCTTTCTATAATTAATGAGCATCCTAATAGCACTTAGAGGACTATTATAAACATTACACTATCATAAACATTATAAACTATTTTAAACAAGACTTTTATAAACATTAGCTTATGACCTTATCAGAGTCATGCACAGTTAACAAAGGGACTGGTGTTATGTGAGGACATCTGATAACTGAGGAGAGGCTCTGCTGGCCTCACTGATGTCAGCAGGACTTGGCACATTTAACTTATATGTACACACCTAAATGCAGGTGTCTTAGTCCTGTTTCAGAGCCTACTGGAAGACCTCAGTACACAACCCACATCTGCAGTAACAGTCTGGATAACCTCCATCCATTGAGCGCTCTGCTCAGGGTTTATTCCCCCTTCGGAGCCCACCTGAGAAGATCTCTGCTGCACTCACTGTCCTAGCCCAAAAGACTACAAAAGATGTAAGCACAGTCGAAAAAAATACTAGAAAGACAAAAAAACATCGGTTTAGGCCTACTTACCTGCCACTTGCTCCGAGCCACAATGAATTTGAGCTGCTTGGTATTAATGAAATGAGCTGCTTCAAGGGGGAGATTATGCTGTCAAAAATGAAATTAAAAGCAGAATGAGCCAAAAAAGATTAATTAAAAAGTCCTGAGCTTGTATCCTGAGAAGTTTTTAGAATTCCTTCACTCCGAAATTGTTTAATTTAAATACTCACTTGTTTCATTATAATAGACCAATCCCAGAATCCCCCTCATAGCTGAACTTAGAAAACATTGAGCAGCTTTTCAGGATAAGAGCAAGCCCTGTCCAATGCATAAGTGAATTCAATTCTTAAAAGATATATAAATAAATAAAAGTAAAACAACAAACAAAAAACCCCACCTCCTCCCCTACACTATAGATTCCAGGCATTTGAATATAAACCACACTTTTTCTCTGCAAAGACAGTTTCAAAACAGACACATTATGTCTGCTCACATCATAGGAATGTCCTTGTTGAAAAGGACAGAAATCCTAGCAAGGAAACACAAAGTGACTTTTACTTCCAGAAAGCTGGGCCTGAGCTTCTGTGTAGGACAGTGAGAGCTGCCCCTCCAGGGCCTCAATCATTTGATGATTCTATGAAGAACCAAGACTTACCATGAACCACTTGTGGGATAGACAGTCCAAAGCGCTAGGCCTGGCTCTAGAGATAAAAGATCACCATTTTATTAGCAAGTCACTTTAAAGAACCATAGCAAGACTCTCCAGAGAGTTGCCTGCATTGCGTGGACGCGTGCACGTACACAAGCACACAAATCTGGGTATGGCTTTGTGCTGATGCTTTGGAGCAAAGCCAGCACTGAGTCTTTCCATCCAACACTACCATAACGTAGCACGACCTTTCTTTTTTCAATATTGGAAAGATTTCTTGTGTTCAGGCTCCCTGACTAAAGGTTCCCCATGGCCCTTCGCAGACAGCCTCTATAAGACAGTCAAGAGCAGGTCCTGAGAGACACCACCTCGCAGGTGACAAGAGGAAAAAATATTTCTGGCACCAGACAAAAAGTATATAAATGAAAATAAAGGCAAGCATTCATGCCTTCAAGCCTACTCCTGTACTTAAAAAGTGCTTTACAAGCATGGATCATATTATGCAATTCCTACACAACCCCCCTGACCTCAGGTAGTTGCTAGTGCTTTCCACACTTTTCCAGGTTTTCAGAAACTCCTCTGCCCGGAGCGACTTGGGAGCAAGGCCATCACCTTAGAGAAGCAGATTCATTTTGCAATCCGCAGGCAAGCGTTTCTTGAGCAACGAATGAAGAAGAGTTGGGATTGGGGCATAGAGAAGCTCGGCTCTGTGGAAGGCTCACTTTTTTTTTTTTTTGATATCTCCTCCCCCCCCCCACCACCACTACCACTGCGGCTTTCAAACTGCAACATTTTCAACACAGGCTCATGCAGGTTTTACTTTGTAAAACCACCGCAGCTCTGCTTGAGCTGCTGAGTCTTGGCACCCTACGCGTAGGAAGCGCAGAAAGGCACTCACTCGGGGCGCTGCTGGAGGATCCGTCTTACAAAATCCTTTGCATCTTCACTCAAGTGAACGAAATCAGGAAGGGTCCAGGAAATTTCACCATTCTGGATATTTAGAAGGGTTCCTCTGTCATTCTCCCCAGCAAACGGAGACTTGCATGTTAGGCTTATTTAACAGCATAAAGTAAAAAGAGATGGAATTTAGATCCTTATTTGCCACTGGACTGAAAGAAACACAAATGCTTACACAGAGCTTTGAAGTGCCTGAGGGACTTAATGCATTGGACACAATACTGGTGAACTGCATGTTCACTCACTGAGAATTTTTCAGCCCAATTACAAGGCACTTGATGGAGTTATTTATTCCTGTTTCTCACATAACCAATTAAAGGCTTGATTTTGCACAGCTAGCTACAGAAAGGTGGCTGCTCCAATGGGCAAGGAGAAAACTGAAGCTGCCTCATGAGAGAGTCTGTGAAGTCTCACCAAAGTCCTTGCCAAACTGGAAAGAGTAAAGGAGAAAACGTGAGGAATTGCCCTCCTCGTGGAAGGATGCCATGCCTCCCTCACTCAGATACTTCCATTGAAGGTGCTAGAGGCTCTGACTGACCTGGGGCTAAAGGGTATTGAATGAGTCTCTTCAAGCAGGGTGATTTACCTTAGGTATGTGATGACTCCAACAGCCCTGAGGAGAAAGGGAACACTCAAGTCAGTCACTGTTTCTCCCTCCTTTGCAAACACACAGCCCCCTTTTCCCATCACTTGCTCACCTTTCAAGGGAAAATAAATCCCCAAAGCTACTGATTTTCTTTTCTCTTTAGCTGAAATTACAGCTATATAGCATTAAACATTTGATTGTGATCAGAACAGTATTTTTAAAAATTGGTCTTGAGCATTCCTCTGTTTTTAAAGTATACATAGAAGACTTGAAATGCATTAAATGTATTTTGGACTTTGCTTGTTTTTTATTTTTATTTTTTTAACCCTCTTAGGAATATCCTCTCTAATTAGTGCCTCGGTAACAAAGATCACCTTCTCTAGAATGCTCCTTGGCATTAACTAGCTGTAATTAATTAGCTCAGTTCAATAATGGTTGACCAAACCAGACAGAAGAATCTCTAAAGTGCCCTGATGTGTCTTGGATTCCCAATGTCTACTTTCAGTTATCGGTTTTTATTTCTACTCTTCTATTTATCTAAGAAAAGATTAATGGAGACTGCTTTATTAATTTCACTAGCTTTACCAACCTACAGCATAATGCAATCATTAATGCCATTTTTATACCTGTAAGAAGTTGGCATATTGCAAACATTACAAATATGATCAATAGAAACATTTCTGCACAACAAACTCTTTGTATCACACTGCAGTAAATTACCCTAAGGATGAATTACATATCCTTAAGGAAACATCTATTTTAATCTGGAGGCTCCAAATTCATGCTATTTAGCACTAAATATTTTAGTATTTATTTTAGCACTAAGTATTTTAAAAGATGCCAGTTACCAGATATCAGTTGCTTTTGACACTGGTGACTGGGAGACAATTTCTGGGGCAACAAACTCTGGAGACCCATATTTGCTGTACTGAGGCTGATATGGAGTGATCTTCTGAGCAAATCCAAAGTCACAGATCTTGAGGTCTTCCCTTTCAGGATAAACCATGAGGATATTCAGAGGCTAAAAGAGAAAACAAAAAGGGTTTTTTCTTGTTGTTGTTGTTAAGACAGCAGTATTTTAGGTTGCAAATAAAAACAATTCAAATAAGGAACACCAATTCTCTGACCAACAGGTGCCTTGCCATTGCACATTACCTTAATGTCCAAATGAAGGATGTTGTTGTCATGAAGATACTTGATTCCTTCCAAAATTTGTCTGATATACAATTTGACCTAAAAATGAAATCAATTATACAACAGTTAATCATTAAACAATTTAAACTGAAGAAGCTTCCTGATTCCAGCCATCTTTTGTATGTGTGAAGAAGCAGAGGTTGAACTAGAAATATTTTAAAAATTGGAATGAACTTCTTAGATTAGCCTTTGTATGTAAAATAAAATGTGAACCAAGTATTATCATACGGAATGAAGGTGTGCCTAGTGACATTGTCTCAAAGTATTTCTAAGAAAAAGTCAATTTTAGTAGTATCTATGGGAAACGTGGCTATGACACCTTGGGTGATAGGAAGCCTTTTGCTCTTTGAGCATACAGGATCTTCAAAAACTTTAGAACCCATCATCTCAGCTTGGTGTGGAGACTGTAAGGGACCAGACACAAGTAAAGTCACAAATAAAAAAAAATACTAACAAAAAAACCCACAAGATACAGGAGCTCTACCTGACAGAGGACAAGAAAACGAGAATGGTAATAGAAAAGCAGAATCTATGTTAGGCTGGATGCAATGCATATGTTCAAAACCACTGGCTGTTTCTAGTCATTTCGCTAAGAAAATCTAGTAATGAAAGCAGTCAATTTTGAAAATATTGACTCTGTTTTGACAGATTATCACTGACTCATAAAGATAATCCTGATGCTGAAAATGCAGCTGGAAGCTGCTTTTTGCTGAAGGAGAAGCAAGGTGGTACCCACCAATTCTGGATTTTGGAATGAGAGAAGATTACCTCTGCTTCCGTGGCGAC